CGCCGACCACGTGGACGGCGGGCGTCACGTGCAGTCGGGTGGAAAATTCCATGGACCCCTCCCCCCGTTGCTGGAGCAGTGGTGGGAGAGGAAACACACAGCCACCGACGACGGCGACGACGACGAGGGTCGTCGTCGTCTTTCTCCTCCACGTTCGCAGGCGGCGCAGCGAGGGAGGGTCGAAATCCCTCCCCCCCCCCAACGCTCGCGAGAGGGGCAGGGAGGCTTCGAAGCAGCCCGCCCCCACCCTTCCAGCGTTCACAAGAGGCGCTCTCTTTCGAATTGTGTGTTTGTGTGTGTGTGTGTGTCTATGCAGCTCCCTGTCTGTCTGATGGCGGAGCCATCTTGAGGAGGAGGAGGAGGAGATTTAGGAGGAGGAGGAGGAGGAGGAGAAGGAGCAGGAAGAGGAGGAGGGGCAGGAGGAGGAGTAGGAGGATCTCTCTCGAGTGCCGCTGCCCCCTGCAGCCCTGAACCACGCCTCCGTAGCCAGCCTCGTGCGCTCGAGTGCCGATGCCGGACCAGCCCGCGCTGCTGCTGGAGGGGCCTCGCCCTGGGGCGCCTGCCTCGAGCATGCGGTGCGCACGGTAACCTCTGGGGCACGGCCGATGGCCAGCGGAGATGGGACGGAGGCTCCGGAGATCGGGGCGGCGACACAGACGAAGGCCAGCGGAGACGAGCCCGAGGCTGGGGCGTTCGACGCGCCCGCGCCGCTGCTGCCGGGAGCGGTGCTGGGCGCGCCCGCACCGATCGGGCCGGAGGAGGGCTGCGGCCTGAGGAGGGCCGCGGCCGTGCCGGTCTGCAGGCCCGCCCTGAGGCCGCAATTGTCGGTCGTCCCGGAGCCCCCGTTCGTGATCAATTGGTGTATTGAGCTGTTCGTCATCGGATGTGGCGCTGAGCAGTGGTGCACCCGAGCAGTGGGCTCAGAGATCGCCGCTGCATACCGGCCGCCGAAGAGTGTGGAGGGCAGGCGCAACGACGAGGGTCCTCCGCACGAGCGCAGTGACGGTGAGGGGCTCTGGGCTTTCATCCCCATGCAGACAAGGGACGATTCGGATTTGGTCTGCGATAGCATGATTTCCATGAGGTCCAGCCATTTTTTATCTAGCAGCCGCCTCGGGCCACTCAAGGAGCTGGTTAAATTTCGTTTCACTCCGATACAGGGCTTCGGGGACAACCTGCGTCTTCCCACAGATCCGCTGAAGTGCTTGAACTGTATCGCCGTGCTGCTGGTCACCCCCACGGAGACTAGCGTGACGGAGAAGATATGGGATTTCCAGATGAGGCTCAGTGAGATATCTTTCAGGTCGCTGCACGCGCGCCCCCACGTGGTGATGCTGAAGTTCAGGACAGATGCTGCCCAGGACGGCCAGCTGCAGGAATTCATCGCCAAGTGGCGGGACAGGGTATCCATCGAGGTGCGGTCCCACGAGGAGGACACCGAGGAGGAAATCATGGAGGCCCTCGCTGGTATGGGCCAGGACTTCATCGAGAACAAGCTGAAATATGCTCAGGCCTCTGCGGCGATGACAGGGTCACAGTCATTGACGAATGTTCAGCACGTGCCGAGAAGGTGTCCCATGACATGTGCAGTCATGTAGTTTCACACTGGCGCGTACGTTAGGCAAGGATGTGATGCGAAGTCATCCTCAACGTGGCCTTGTCGATGTTTGCTTCCCAAGGTCAGGAGCACCATGGGTGCGTATCGAAGCCCTTCCCCTCTCTCTTTCTCTCTCTCTCTATGTCCCTCGAGTTCGGTCTCATTCGTTCAGTCTTTATGAAAGAAACGTTCTCTCTCTCTCTCTCTTTCTCATCGGCTATGTTTTCCGACGTCAGCCCTAGCTCTGATCAGATTTAAATCGCCGCACTGGCAGTGGGGAATCTTGCGCGGTGGGATTCGCAGCCACCAGCTTGTAAGGCGCATACGGCCGCCACGCTGAAATATGAGGAGCACCAGTGGCTCGGAAGGGGCATCCATTTCTCGGCCGTTTCTTGGGCCAACGTCGGGAACCTGCTGGCGTTCCTGCTTCGGTGTGCCCTGAGAGTGCCATTCGCTCCGCATCTGAGGCTCCTTCGTGCAGGACCTCCACTGCAGGGCGTTGCGCCACGCTTTGAGGCCCCACGCATTCCCTGCGCCACGCCTCCGTGGCCGCTCTGCGGCCGACGCAGCACCGCCGCGGCGCGTCCCGCGTGCGTGCCGCCTGCTCCCCGGGGGGGGGGGGCCTGCGAAGCCTCCGCGCCGCGAGGAGCAGCCCGCCCCGCCCCGCCGGGCGAGGGGCCGGCACGCGGCGCGCGCTGCGGCCCGACCTCGGCCGGCGGGCGGACACGCGAGGGCCACCTGGTAGGCCTCGTGGGAGGGGCCATTCAGGAGGGAAAAAAACACACAGACACAATTAATCCTCGATTCCCAGGAAAATATGGGAAAATATGGGAATTGGTGGGGAAGACAAAAACCCAGAAAATATGGGAAAATACGGGGAGTATTTTTATTTGTGTGTATTTATTTGTATGTCCTAATTTCCCTTTAGCCATGGCTGCGGCACCGCTGCGCAGACGAGCCTACGATGGCCGAGGCCAGCCGTGGCCTCGGCGGCGCGCGAGGGGCGACGTGAGAGGGGGCCGGTCTGCTCCGAAGGCTCGGAAGTCCCCCCGGGCCTCCAGAGAAGTGTTCTGAGTTTTTTCTCCCCGAAGGCGCAGAGTGCTTCTCTGAAGGCGCGAGGGCTTCTGAGAAGTCCGCCGCCTTCTGAGAAGGCCTTCTCCTTCTCCTTTCCCCCCTCCCTCGCCGCCGAAGAAAAGCTCAGTCGTTGAATCTTCTGCGTTCCTGGTGGTGTGGCGATCACTGTAGTGTGGAGAGGCCTGCAGCCCATCCCGCCGACAATGCATGGCTTGTGGGCCGGCCTGTTGTGGCCTCTTGGAGGCCTCTTTGGCCATCTTGAGGCCGTCTTGGGCGTCTTAGATCGACTAGACGTAAGAGTGACCTTTCCCTGGAGTGACCTTTGGTGCGAGCCCAATGGGATCCCCCCATCGCCGAACGCGATGCGATGGTAGCGTCTTGCGCGCTTGTGTTTGGTCCCCCCGCGGTCCCGAAAAATCCGCGCACCAAAGGTCACTCTTGCCCAGAGTCACTTTTGCGTGTAGCCTATTGGAACGATCCTGGGGCGATTTGGGGCCCTCGTTGACCAAGTTGGGGGTCTCTTGGGGCCATCTGGGTTTGTTTCGGGGGCATCCTGGGCGGGGTCTACCCTTGACTGAATGAGCGGCGCCCTGGCGCCCACTCCCAGCCCCACACACGGCCGCCCTCACGGGCGAACTAAGAGTCGCCTCGCCTCGCCTCGCCTGGGCGGGGTAAGCCCGCCTCCTACAATTCTGGCTCTTGGGCTCTCCCGGGACCATATTTTGTTGCTGAGACTTTGGGTAGCTCGGAAAGCACGAGAAGGACATAGATTGATGAGCATCGTGTAGATGTATCTGTTGTGGTGAGACGTTGGGTGACCCTTGCGAGCATCTAGGGGAATCGTCTGGATCTTGGCAAAGGGGTCTCTTGAAAGGTCTCTCGGCGTCTCTCGGAAGGCCTCTTGGGGGCCACCCGTGGGGGCTTCCAAGAGCCTCCTGAGGGCCTGAGGTGGTCTCGAGGGCCATCCTCGAGAGTGGCGCCCTAGTGACCCCGTCGAGTTCCACCTCTTGGGCTCCTCTCGGGGGCTCTTGGAGCCGCCAGGGCCCGTCTTCGGACACTCTTGGCCTTCTTAGGGCTCTCCTGGGGACCTCCTTCGCTGTCTTGGACGCTCAGGTCGTGAGAATAGCGCTTCAGGTTTTAACTGTTTAATGAGTTCAGCCTCCTGGGCCAGCCCAAGGCCCCCAGGACAGTCCCAGGGCCACCGAAGCTTCTTAAGCATTCTGGAGTGCCTCTTGGGGAGTGTTGGTGTCGGTTTGGGCGGTTTGGGCTTCCTCTAGGCCCACGCGAGACGCCGGAACCTCCCGGGACCTTTCAGGGATTCTAGCGTATTCCTCCTCGCAGTCCTGGTTCTCCTCGCTTTCCCCTCGTCCTCCACGCTGTCCTCCTCACCCGTCTCCTTGTCGTCCTCCTATGCCTTTTTTTTCTCTTTCGTCTTCCCGGCCGAATGGCAAAAGCGGTGCTCACCCCTGTTCTCGGCGGGTCAAGAGTATGGGTTGTAGGGCACTCCACTGCGTGCTGAAGGCACGGTGGCGGGTTCCGTGCGCACGTGTGCACGCGTTCGCGTCGCACGTCGCTTGTGCCATCGCGTCGGCTTGCGGAGGGGTCGACGAAGTTGATCACACGTGCTTCACCTGGTCCAAACAATGGTCGCTTTCCTAGTGCACTGCGTCGTGCGATCTGGCCGAAGTAGAAGATCGAAGTCGGTTCGGGGAGGGTACCCTGGTGTCCTTCGTGTTTGTTGGATCCTCTTGTGCATCCTGAGGGAGGATACCCTCGATTGTTCTTCAGTTTGGCGCCCTGGAGGATCTCAACTTTCTGATAGGATGGTATTATGTCCTGGGTCCAGCGCGGCCGTGCCCGGTGTCAACAATGGTCGCTTTCCCCGTGCCCTGCGCCGTATCGCAGACGAGATTGCGAATGGCCAGCGGCTTTGCCGCCCGGCCCCCCTCGCTGCGCGCGCAGCTCACCCGCACGCCACCTGCTCGACACTGAGCCGACTTTCGGGGGAACGCCGCGCGCTGGACTGAAGGGGAGCGAGGCGGAGGGAGGCCGCGCGCAAGTGTGCCGACCCTCTGCGGCGAGCCCAGGGTGGAAGCCTCCTCCTCCTCCTCCTCCTCCTCCTCCTCCTCCTCCTCCTCCTTCTCCTCTCTCTCCTCCTCCACCTCCTCCTCCTCCTCCACCTCCTCCTCCTCCTCCTCCTCCTCCTCCACCTCCTCCTCCTCCTCCTCGGAAGGGGCACCTCCAGGAAGGGGCGGGCAGGGGATCCAAGGACGCGAGGGCCCAGGATCCAGGGCCCGGAGGTCGAGGACGAGGTCGACGAGGACCGGGGCTCCAGGCTCGAGGTGTCCGCAGCTCCCGGCTCCAGGAACCCCTCGGGCCGGCCCGACTGCAGGGCCGCTCCTCGCGTGCAGCCAGCCCCGGGCACCGACCGCCGCGCGGCGGCCCCGCGCGACGCCATGGACGAGGCCCTCCCGGCGACCCCTCCGCCCGAGGCCACCATGGGGCCCCCGCCGGTCGTGGAGGCGGCCGCTGCGGCGGAGCACTTCGCCGCGGGCCCCCCGGGTGTAGTCGCAGAGGGTCCTGCGGGGCGCGCAGCCCCCTCCCCCGCGGCCTCCCTCCTCCCCCCTTCCTCCTGCATCCTCCTCGTATCCATTCAGCTCCTCTTTGCCCCCCCCCCCTCCCCTCTCTATCCCCCTCCTCCCTCCTTGGTCCTCCGCTCGGCCTTCCTCCTCCGCAGCCATGTCGGCTCAAGGCTAAGCGTTGTGACGGACTACAGACGTCCGGGAACCAGCGATTTAGCTTTGAATCACTCCGCAGGGGGGCTCGAGGCTTCCCCGATTGTGGCCACCGGGAGGCCACGGCGTTCTTTCCGTGCGTTCATACGTTCCACACGCGTCGGACGCACCTGTCCCTAGCCTCCCGCGCTGCCATACTGGGCCGTGGTGGCTGCAGCGAGGCGGCTCCTGGACCGGGGCGGCGGACCCCACGTCTGATTCGGACTGATCAGGGTGATCGGGGCCGCAGCTCGCCTACCCCAGCCGCTGGCGCTGCTGGTGCAGCACGGAGGCGACAGCAAGACGATGATCGACGACCCGAACGGCGTAGCGGACGTGCCCCCCGAGATGAACGCCACCGCGATCGAGACCGAGAGAAACATCGCGAGCGTCGCTCTGGCCGTGCTGCAGTTCCTGTCCAGCCTGTTCCTGGGCCACGGCGAGACGAGCGACATCCTGTTCCCCCAGCTACAGGCCCTATTTCTGATGCTTGTTTTCTTTTTGGCGAACGTCGTGACATGTACGCAGCTGTGGAAGGTCGCAATCCTACACCCTTCATGGGAACGGCCACACCCACGATCGAGCGCGACACCGACTATCGAGCGCGACGGCGAAGCAACTGTGAGATGTAGCAGATGGAGGGGCGTCTACGGGATGCCTTCCGTGTCGACGCCGCCGCCACCCAGAAGGCAGTCAACAGTGCAGCGGCTGCAGCAGCCTCGTCGTGGCTCGAGACCTTCGCAAGCCGGCTTCAATTCTTTTCTTGGGAGCACAAGCGCGGCCCACAGGCGACTCGACGCCCTTGCCCACGAACTTCAGGAACTACGACAACGGCAAGACAAGTTTGCGGCTGCTCAACTCACCATGCGCAGCGGGCCGGACCAGATTTGTGTTCAGTTGACCACAGTTGGGGCCCAGTTGCCGTTCGACGTGGAGGCTCTAGCTAATTAGGGCAGGGCCGTGGACACGCTCATCTTCTCGGTTGGCATCGTCGCGCCTGCGGCCCCGTTTGCTGTTCGTGACAGTCTTGCTGCTTGGATCGCCGACGCCAAGCTCCAGCCCCAGCACATCGATCTCATCGGTGACGTCTTGGCAAGGCGACTCACTATCATAATTCTCGGCAACAAGCTCGAGGCCATGTCCAGAGCCTCTGCACTGGTGCGGCGCCTGCGAACAATTACTGGATGGCGTTCATCTTCAGTCCTGCCCACAGGAAACTCAACGGCGAGGATGTACTTCTCGACTGGCAAGAGGCTCAAAGACGCACGCGGCGAAGTGCAAAGTAAGAAAGCGTGCAAGCTGTTGGAGGAGAAGTACCCTGACAGGTCATGGCGTTGCCGGCGTGCTCAGTACCAGATCCTCGCTAATAGCGCCCCCACGTGTCAAGTTCAAACCTCAGGACCACTATGAACCCACCCGCATCCGTTGAAACGTGGACGCCGTCGCCGAAGTCAGCATCGATCGCGACGCGACCGAGGGAGCTTTCTCGGCGGCCGTCTCGGGTAGTAATGCACAATGGTCTGGGTCGCACACGCTGGGTTCCCGGCGAGCCCTACCGTCGTGATTGCAGCCGCGGTCTTCGTGCGATCAGTTGAAATGCAGAAGTTTGTTTTGCCGCAGCATACGCGAGCAGAAGGTCAACGTCAAGTTGCTTCCAGAACATGTGCGCCAGAGATGCTGCATGACACCGCGCGGAGGTCGAGGTGATCGGCGCCGCTTGCGCCAGATCGCCAATGCCTCGCCGCGTGCCTGCGACTGCTTCCTGTCCTTCACTGATGCTTCCGCTGGTAGGGTCGCATTCTGGGCGCCTGGACATCCGCCGCAGTCGCATGCGCCGCCCCCCCCCCACGCGCGATCACCCCACGCGATGCGTTTCGCATCGCTCGTAAGTTTCCTGCGTTGATCGCGCCTTCCTGTCTGGGGGCGCCCCGCGACCAACGCTTCCGGATGTCAAGTTGCAGATCGCGCGCGAGCGCGCCCGGCTACGCGACGCGGCCACCCGCCCCCGCGCCACGCGCGCGCTCAAGCGTCGCCCCGCCGCCCCGGAGGAGCAGCGGGAGCGCGCTTTCCCGCCGCATTCGTTGAAGACTGCAGAGTTCCGCTCGTCGCCTGCGGCGATGCTCGAACGCGGGGACTTCGATTTCTCGTCTGCGACTGCTGCTCGGCAAGGGATTGGGGATCTCGCGCGCGAGGCCGCCGCGCTCGCCCGCGGTCGTCTGCGGGGCCCCGATTGCCTTCAGTCCTCGCGCCCCGACGCCCCCGGCACGCGTGCGCATCTTTTGGCGCCCACGGCGCGCGCGACGCGTCGCAATGACGCTCGCAGCGCCGCGCGATTACTCGTCGCTTCTTCTCTCGCTTCCGCCCCCTGGGCCGTCGTCGGCAACGTCGCCCCCCTTCGCGGCCCCCCCGCCCCCCACCCCGCGCGCGACGCAGTCCATGATGAGCGGCGCCTGCCGCGCCGGCGCTGCGCGCCGGCGCGAGCGCAGCTCAGTTTGGCGACAGCGGCCGGCGCAGAGAGACGCGACGCCTCGGAGGCGAGCCGGAGCGCCCGGCCGGCGGCGCGGCACGCCAGAGCGGGGGCCCCCTGGCCGGGACAGCCCCCTTCGGCGCGAGCGCGCGTCCGCCCGTGCCCGCGGGGGATCGAAGAGGCGCGCGCCGACGACGGCGATGCTCGGCGCGCGGCGCAGCCCCGCGGGGCGCCCAAGTTTTCGCAGCCAGAGCGCCGTCGGACCCCACCATCCGCAGCTTCCTCCTTCGTCGACCCCCCCCGCGCGCCCGCCCCAGACGCGCCGACGCCGCGCGGCGCAGCAGTGGCCAGCGCGCGGCGGCGCGCCGAGCCGGCGCCGCCCCGACCGCCCCCCACGCTTGCCCGGGCCCCCGCCCTCTTTCCCCCCGCCATCCTGCATCGCGTTCTCGAGCGCATTTTCCATGGGGGCTTTCTCCCTTATGAGACCGACCTCTCGCCGTTGGCCTTCTCCCGAAGGGCGAAAAACAGTCGGGCGCGGCCCGATCGCATCGCTGGCGCCAGGACATTCGGCCCTCGGGCGCATGCGAGCCAGCAGCGGCACGTCACTTGGCGCGACGCTTCGTCGGCAACGCGCCCTTGCTGGACGCAGAAGCGACGCGCGCTGGGCGGTTGGAAGACCCCCGGCGCAAACGCCCACTCCTCTTTTGGCAATGTGAAACTTGCTCTCCCTTGTGCGCCCCGTCAGCGGCTTGCGCTTGGGCGGGGGGCGCCGCGGGGCCCTGCTCGGAGTTCCGCGCTGCGCAATGCCCCGACTGCTTTCACAAGATGCCCATGGCCCCCATGCGGGGGCTCGCCAGTGGAGTCCTCCAAGGGCGCCCCCTTCCGGGCAGCCTCTGGGCCCTTGCAATGGATCCTCTACTGCCGTCATTTTCAGAGACCGCCCAGATCGCTCGACCATGGCGCAGTCAGAGCCTCTGCTGACAACGTCGGGCCTTTTCTGTTCTGCGTCGTGCAACGTGTCATGATCGACGAGACGTTTTGCAATGCAGAGAAGCTTGTTGGCCTTACCCCCCAGCGCGCCAAGCGCGTTGCGGCGCCTCTCCGGTCGCCAAGTTTGTCCGAGGTCCGCCGTTAAACTCTGGGCGCCAGAAGGCCGCTCGCTCTAGTTAGCCCTTTGCCAAGCCTCTGAGCCACCCCCCATATGCAATGAAACGCCCGGCTGAGAAATGGCGGCGTCGCATCCATCTCTCCAGCAATATGCGCGCCCCGCCATCTGCGTCGGCGCCCCCCTGCTCGTCTACCGCCCCCCCCCCCCCCCCCCCCTTCTCAGCAACGTTCCCCAGCGGTTCTCTCCGATTGCCCGTCTAACGCAGCGGGCGCCCGCCGCCGCCGAACTCGATCCAAATGGCTGAGTACTTTTCTTTCCTCTAATGCTCTGGCGCCCTGGGGGGGGCCCTGGGCTCGCCCTGGCGTTGCGCGCCGCATCTCCCTGGCGCGCGTGCCCGGCCGCGTTGTCGGGCTGAAGAGTTGCGCTCGGGCGCCTGCAGAAGACCGCGTAGGTGGCCGCCTCTTTACCTCGCTTCGCCGATGGGCGCTGGTCCCACCTTGTTGGCAGGGGCAGACCGCCACTGCGCAAATATTCCGAACGCATGTTTTCGCACGCCGATCACCAGTGATAGCGCGCGCAAGGTGTCAGCTGAGGCGCGGCGCGCTGCTGCGAGAAAGGGGGGGGGCCGACGTCGCCGGGGCCTCGGAGCTCGGGGGGGGGGGGGGGGGCCTGAGGCGCGGCGCGCTGTGAATGCCCGCCTCTTGAGATCGCAGTGTCCAGACCGATTCTCGACGCCGAGAGTCGGCGCGTAAGGAATTGTTACCCTGACCCCCCTCTCCCCCCTGAGATCGACGCTCGCTGGCGCCATGCCCGTTCCTTTTTGCTGCCAAGTCCAAGCCTGCAGTTAGATGGTCCACTATCAAAGCGGTGTGTGGCGCGTGGACCAGTAATCGCACGCATGTTGCCCCAGGGTCTCAAGCCTGCTTCGTTGGTTGTCCTGGCCGGGATGATTGCGCCCACCACAATTCAGTATGCGACAGATTCCTGGAGTTTGGTGCTGGCGGCCAGCGGCAATTATGCAATGATGTTTTAGTTGGGTTGGGCCGGGGGGGGGGGGGGGCGAGAAGCGCGCGTGGGCCAGCCCCCGCTCGGACATATCGCTCGCTCTGTGTCCAGCGCTTCCTACGTGCATCATGCCGTCAAGGGGGCGATATTACGCTGCTGGTCCTGCCGCCGCCCGCTTCCGCGCTCTCGCCATTCAGCGAATGCGCGTGGCATATGTGACCAG